TGTTTACTGTGTTAATCTCAGGCCCTCTGATGACCCCCACTCATCGTGGTCATAGTTTAGGTGTGGATGTGATGTGTGAGATAACACCATAGTGATGAATATGATGTGACCAATGTGAAACAGTGCCTTTTTTGGCTTTACATGTTTATTTATGGCAAGTATCCACCATCTAATGTGACCCTTATTTTGTCTCGGTAGATGAATGCAGGCACCACCTACCACCGTGGCCCTGCGAGGGACGGCATCGAGCCGTGGTGGGGGGCAGTGTGGGAGACAGCGCCGCCATGCTGTGCCGCAAAGGGCAGCGTTTAAACTCACTGTCGACCACACTCCTGAGAGGAGGACGAGAAAGAGAGGTGAGGAGAGCTTATCGGCACTGCAAAGTTTGTCATTTAAGGGGCCGTTTATCAGCGGTGTAGACTTATGTACGGGCCCGGGCGCTGTACAATAGCTACCCGCTGCTCATAGTACTAGACTCCTAGTACTAGGATGGGTTAAATGCAGAGAACACATTTCACTGTGTGTGTGTGCTGTGTGCTCTGCGTGTGTGACCAGTAAAGAGGGTTTCATCCCTCCCAATTCTATTCTATATCAAACGTATCATTACCTCACATCATTTCTACATAACTACCGATTTAAAGTAGATTGCAGTATCAGCCAGTATAAATGAAAACGACTGTTTGCAGGGCTTTTAAGAAAACGTTTTTGCCATAATTTATCCCGAAATGGGAGTAAATAAACTTTTATCTGTGATGCAATCCAGGAATCAGAATACCTTTATTAGTCCCACGGAGGGGAAATGTGCGTAGTTAGAGCCACAGACAGCTTAATGTTACATATGTTAAATATTTGCCATGCATTAAAAAAAAAGTACTAAATTATGATATAATAAAAAATTCTAAGTTACATAATTAAAAAAAAAATACACATCCTGTAACTGTTCTAAGGACTTAGCAGCCAGGTGTATATTACACAGTTATTAACGGCATCTATATATATTGCACATAGTTTGTTGGTATTTAGCAGCAAGGGGTGATATAGTCTGTGTAGGGGGGGATACTAAACTGTCCAACTTAAAACCCAATATGAAGTATTTAGGCTTTCTAAAGTTCTTAATCCTTGTGGAAATCTGCATACTCCCTTTTAGTACAACCCAGTATATCTGTTGTATTTGTTTTTTAAAACTGTCTCTGGTGTTATGGAGATGTAGCTGTTTAATAAAAAAGCATCTGTTTATCTTTTTAATACTACATCTCTGTCAATCGAGTACTTTTCTGTGTGCGCCTCTTCCTCTAGGATAAAGAAAAGTGGAGGTTTTATAACCTGGAACAGTCTGGGACAGTCGAACGTTAACGGCAGGCTGGCCATGACGCGCAGCATCGGAGACTTTGACCTGAAGAACACTGGGGTCATTGCTGAGCCGGAAACCAAAAGGATGACGGTGGGTTTTTAAAAGAGGGGTTTGAAGCAACTTTTTACTAAATACATACGGATTTATAACCAAATAAATTACCTCAACTTGTCAATAAGGAGTCTGTAAAATTGGTTATTATATATAAGATGTTATTTAAGGATTTTATTTTGGTTCTCTTTTGAATAAATGTATTGTCCCTTCAATGTGTTTTTCTTATTCCTCATAAATCAAAGTTAGACATCTTTCTAAATATAGCTTGCCTTGTCCTCAGTTGCACCATGCCCACGACTCTTTCCTGGCGCTGACCACAGACGGTGTTAACTTCATCATGAACAGTCAGGAGATCTGCAACGTAATCAACCAATGCCACGACCCCAAAGAAGCCGCTCAGAGAATCTCTGACCAGGTAAGACCTTCATAAACACACGGAGTGAAACCAAACCATGCATCTGAAGTCTGGTAAATGGACACTCAGAAATCTATCTGTTACATTTACAGACCCTCATAAGTATTCTTTTCATTTCAAGCTACACTCATAGTGGGCTGCTGCCATCAGTCAAGTCTGTCCCTCTATCACTTCATCATTTACAAGAGTAGTGTAGTGTGTGCTTAGCGAGAGTGTGGATGAGCGACACAGAGAGAGAGAGTTTGGGTTGAGAAAAAAAATCAGCTAATGAGAACAGAGAAGAAATGAGAGGAAAAGTTGTCTTGTTTTATTAAATGTAGTGTCACACACACACACACACACACACACACACACACACACACACACACACTTTTTGCCCCCCTTACACTTCTAAAACTAACACAAGGTTTTGCAGGAGCGAGTTTACTGCATGCGTGTCAGACATGCAGGTCATGCACTTTGTAGCCATGCTGTGTAGCTGGACTTAAGGTCCTTACACACACCAAGCCGATTTCGGCCGTCGATAGTTGTCGGGCCGTTGATGAGCGTCGTGTCGCCCTACTCAGATTGGTGTATCTTGGTGTGTCCCGTCCCATCGTGTCTTTTCGGCCGTGCCGCCGATTCGACATGTTGAATCGGTAAAAGGCCGTCGGCTAAAGAAAGCACTCTGATTGGCTGTTCAGCTTAGCGAATCAGTGCATGAGAAGCGAAACGGAAGTGAGGAACCCAAACAAACTANGATCCCGCCAAAGTTTTCAGGCAATTACTTCCCTTCTATCTCTCAATTTAACGCCCTCTCTGGAATAAAAGGCACTCTGGCCCAAAAGAAAATAGTAAATATCACCCTGGGGCTGCCAATTGAATAGCCCTGGTCTATCGTTTTTCCTTGTTTAGTCCATATTTTTACAATACACTTTCTAGAATGTGGTGGTTTTTAAATAATTAAAAAAGGATTTCAGTCATTGGATCTTAAGTTATTAGAGAAAAACAGTTGAGCAAACATTAGTGGCAACTCTGTTCAAAGCTGTTTCGGGACATTTGTTTTCCACTGTGCTGCATTCGAGAAACTCAGACTTTTCTGAGAGGATGCCTGAATGAACAATGAAGGTATCCTAACCAGGAGAAGCTGATCGCAGAAAATTGACTCAGTTTTTTCTTTCTCCGTCTGCTCTTTTTTCAGTTGAGTGTTGTCGCCATCATCATGAACGTAACGCGAACAGCCATGGTGGGCGACCGGATGAAAGGCCTGCTGGAGAATCACTCCGCTCACCCCAGCTTTGAGGCTCTGGCCACCCTGCAGGTCCAGTTCAACAACGTGGCTGCAGTCATCGTCTTCTTCTCATGGGTCAAGGTAGAAATTCTTAATGTTGATCCATAATTACTCCAGAGACAGAAAAGTGCTGAGGTTTTCATTTGGTGTTTTTCAGCTCATTTGATATTGCCTTTGTTTCAAACTTCTGTTGTCCTCGATATGTGAAAGATCGCTCAGTGAAATGTATTACAATGATAGTAGAATATAATACATAAAATCCAATAATATGAATGATATCCAAATATCGATTTAATAAACTACAAGTAACAAAGTATCAGGCTACATTTTAAAGTGCTTTTAAGATCAGACACACAAACAAATTAAGTGTGAAGTGTTTCACTTTTAGTGCATAAAAAGGTAAATAAAACACAGATTTTGATCATGGTATTTCAAATAGTAGAATGTGTCTGATATATATATGATGTATAAACAATTTTAGATGTAAAAATCGAAATGTAATTGGTCACTCGTTTTGTAAAAGAAAGAAAATTAAAACCTAAACAAATTACTTAACCGGAAGCTTTTAGCAGACCCCACTTTGAGGATCAGTGCCATAGTGGAAGCATAAAAAACCCAACTGTCACGACCTTAACACAAACTGGAGAACCCAAATGCACGACCCAGAGACAGTCTTGCATGTAGCAAAACATTTCTTTTAATTTCAAGCAAACAGAAAATCCCTCTTAACAGAGTAGGTATTGGATAATAGAAAAAGCGCTCACAAGGAGGAAAAAACAAGCNAATAACAGCGCTTGTAAGAACTTAAAGGTCCCCTATTATACTGTTTTTCATCAATATATTATAGGTCTCAGATATATACAAAACATGTCTCTGAAGTGTTTGGCTCCAAACACCAAACAGATCATTAACACTTCAGAGACATGTTTTGTATATATCTGAGACCTATAATATATTGATGAAAAACAGTATAATAGGGGACCTTTAAGTTCTTACAAGCGCTGTTATTGTTGTGTTTCTGTGTGTGTGTGTGTGGCCTGTGCTCTCACCAGCGGAGATCTGTGATTTGGGTCTTCCCGGGCTGTGGAGGGTCAGCAGGAGCCGGCTGTTGCTGATCTGCAGCTCCAGCCTGTGGGGCTCGGGGTTCAGCTGCACCGAGAGCAGCAGCCCGTCCGGGTTCCACGTCCTGAACTGGAAGCGGACGGAAAAACCTCCGCTGGCAGACGCCGCTGACGGGAGTGACAGGAAGCTGCTGCTGGAGCTCAGGAAGGTGCAGGCCACCAGCTGGGGCTGCGAACACGAGAAGGTCACGTTGCCCTGGAGGACAAAAGGAAAGCCAAGGGCACACATTAACACAAATCTTCAACTGCATGTTCGGGTGATTTGGTCTCATGGGAAAGCTCATTGTGACATATGGATATAATATATTGTTGATATGCACTAAAAGGGAACAGATGGTTAAAGAATCATGAGTAATCAGAAGTTGAAACCCAAGGCAAAAATATTCAAATGTAACCTTCAACAAGATAAACTGAATTATTCGTCGTCATTTTTTTAAGTTTATCATCGGCAGCAATTTATACTCCTTCAGTGAAAACATTTCAAATGAAAATGATTCAACACAGCTGGCAGAATATAATATTGTGCGGTAAACATGCTGGTTGAATGAATAGTTTGACATTTTGGGAACTATGCTTATCTGTTTCTTGCCTATAGTATTATATGGGAATATTGTTATCAATCTCATGTGTCTCATCTGTTATACACATATATATATATATACAGTATATATTATGTCACAGACAACATATCATGTGTTAGTATAGTGTTAAAAGGTATGTTGATTTTAAACCAAGGCTAGCTGTTTCCACTCGTTCCCAGTCTGTATGCTAAGCTAAGCTAACCGGCTGCTGGCTCTATTTGAACATCAAAGGAAATATGGAAATTTCCACACACACTTTTCACCTCTGCATTGATTTATTGGAGTTGACGTTGAGGTGAAAAGACCTTTCTCAAGACATAATTAATCATAAAGTGACACCCAGTGCATAACCCACTTCCTATAAAACACATTTAACAGGCAAGGACTACTGACAGTGGACCACTATAACAAACTAATGCAGGAAACCAGCATTATGGGAACATATTAACCATTTGCTCTAAAATAAACATTATGTTGTCAATGCATCATGAGGACAAACATAAACCCAAAAATATTTTTAACATTAACGTTAAAGTTAAACTTACAATATGGCATTTCTTGCAAGCTAGGGCACCCGATCAATCAATAGTGGGTGGTAGTTTTTAATTGCACTCTTGATCTCCTTATAAGGATTACTTTATTTTTCAATGTCTATGATATTATAACAGGAAGTGAAATGATCTGCAGAGGTCTCCTTTCCACTACAAATGGACTCGGTGAGTAAAGCTGGTAAAAACACTGAATGAAATGAATCAGCGGTTTCACGGTGAACACTGAGGGTTAGCTACAGCCTTAAGGCTTTTCTCAGCTTATTCCCTATGAAAAATTAAGATCCAGACGCTGATGAATACAATCTTTCCGTCTAGTATAAACATGTAATTGTATACAACCAAGGTCTAAAGAAAATTGTGTAAAATATGGCCTAAGACGGAATGAAAGCCAATTTATGATAACCATCTGCTCTGTTACCTTGATTCTAATTTTCTATCCATTGGAAAATTGCTGTTTAGATTTGAATTGGCATTTAATTACAGAATTAAACATCAAAAACTAACATAGGCAAACATATTTTTTAGAAATGTGTTTTTTGGCACTGTTATTTCTTTAAATTTGCCTATTATGTAAAACAAAAGTAAACAGAACACTTTTTTATCAATCAAACTTGATAGGCTGCATTTAGGTGTTTTTAATTGGGGTCCCCTAGGGATAGATTATATTGGTATAAGCACTAATTAATATAAAATAAAACAATGATACGAGTTAATGAGAAAGAAATTAGTTGAAAAAGTCTGGAACTAAATTGGAACCATATAATAAATCACACTGAGCCTGGTTTTCTATAGATAAGTGTTAATTACAGTTAATTATAGCTGTGTTGGAGATGTGTCCACGATCAGACACAGAAGAAAACCCAGACACTCAAAGTCTCCCTCAGCTGTCAGCAACATCACATCCATAATTTACAGGAAGAGTAGAGGGCCACACGACTTGCTTTGTCTCCTTTGTGGTGCAGCAAATCAATTACATGTAATTATAGCTTTATGTTTACCATCCAGAAAGAAGAGTTTTATCTACCTTCTAAACTAGTGGCACC